GAAAACCTAGAAAATTCTTGTACGTACCGAGAAAAATGACACATTTTTACAGTGTACGAAAAAAATATTTGATTGATTACGTTGTACGTCTAGCCTATGATTACAGAATTACGGAATTTATTTTTTCAATTTACGTTGTACGAACAAAAAATATTGCAATTACGCTGAACGAAAATACCCCCCCCCCCTATTTATTGTGAATGCTCAAAGACTGGTCATTTCCTCTCGTACAATTGGTACAAACCCCATGAAAACATATCTGGATAAACTGTGGCGCTCTAATTTAATTGATGGACTATATACTTGCAGTTGCAGTTGTAACTTTTATTTTATTTCGACCAACAGAAGAAAATGTGCGATTTTCTCAATATTCACTTAATATTGTCTCCTACGAATTACCATGCTACAATTTAGAATCCTTGTTTTTTATAAAACTTGACACCTTAGGATATTGTGTAGACACGATTAGCGGGGGGGGGGGTGTCAACGTCAATGCATATTAAGTGGTTAATTTGCTATCTGTCTGTGTAAGCAAAATCACTTTAGAGCATTTTTTTATCGAATGTATGTAAGTACCTTGGGGTAATCTGATTAAAATTTGATGTAGGAAGAGGTTTCAGTTTTTTTTTTGCTCTGTGATCATCAGTTTATAGTTGTCAGTGTACACGTCTGACACACGTCTGACATCTGACCAAGTACCAATCGAGTTCTGCAACTTTACTCTGATGGGATTTGTACTGCAAGGAATTCAAATTCGTGTTGAATAACACAACACAACAATCAAATGTGTGACAAACGTTTTTTGGATTCCATGACCTACACCAAAGAAATACAAAAATCATACAAGATCTGTGAGGTTTAAATAACGGACCATGAATGGGAGTAAAATACAATATAACCCACTCAGATGGTCCCAGCACATCTACAGAATTATTGTTGTAAATTGGACACCGACCATCAATAGAATAATCTGAATCCATCTCAAAGAAAGGTGTATTACTGCAGATCTTTTTGTGCAGCATTTTTTGTTTATTTGCAACCATAAACCCCAATGACCATGGAAGGTCTTTTTTGTGAGTGATGATAGAGGATTTAATTATTGATGTAAACAAAGATACCACAGATGTGGAGTTGAACCACCTTGTTTATCATTGTAGCGCAAATGTTGAAATGAAAAAAAAACTGTCTGGGTGCATTGAATTGATTAGGTAAGCAACGAGACGATTGTTTGATTTGAAACAATGTTCTATCAACTGGGGAGGACCATCTTGGTTGAGCCGAGCTAGATATATCCCCACAGATATGCTAGGTAATAAGGCTGGGGATGTGTAGAATATGAGTTTCCCTTTTCATTAAACAATTATGGAAATATCTCTGCTGTCTTTGTAGAGTGTCTTCCTCAAAAGAAAATTCTGTATGATGAATTTATTAACTATTTGTGATTATTGTTCCCACAATGTTCTTGCCATATTATAACCATAATTTACTTGGCTGTTGCCACGACAATTACAAATGTTATCACCTTGTTCCAAACCCTTGCATTTTACACAAGTACATCTCGTATTAATCATTATTATTTAATATACCAGACTTGTGGATTTGCATTCTCGGTGTGCCTACCTGAAATCTTGGATGTAATTTCATGTTTTATAGTTATGGCAGGTGTAGGTGGGGAACAATATCTCTACGATAAGCCTCTAACTACAAAGCACATATACCATCTACGTCAAGTGAACACTGAGCCTGAGTACCCCTAGATGCCAGTATTTGCCTCCAGTAATGCCAAAATGCGTGCACTGAACACAGGGTCAGCTCCCCCTGTTATAGTGGAAGCTGCATTTAGAGTAGTATAAAAATAGGAGAAAGAGAGTCCGGTTCATCAGGTCTTTAGTTCTTTACCAAAAGAGGTAATTAGTCCATGAGGTGACCGAGTCAATTTTAAATATAGTTTATAACTCGCTGCATCTCCTGCCTGAAGGCAAGGTAACCAAGCATATTGTGGCTCATAGGATGCTTGACTCTAATAACACTAATATTAACAAGGACCAACATGGTGTAACCAGCATTGGCAATACCACAGCACATGTGCGAGACAACCCTTTAAGCAGTGTGATGTTCCTAACTAAACTGAAAGACAATACAGTTTTGGTTGCAAACCTGATGTTTCCCACAGTATTTACCACATGGGCAAGAATTCCAACCAACATACAAGCATGTGTCTGGTGTTGTAAACACAAAAAAAATGGTATTTCTGAGAGTGGCTCTTGCATCCCAGATGGTGATACTGCATGGAAATAGGGCTTAGTGATTGCCGGACCCTTTTAATAAAATTGTTCTGATGTGAGCACTAGGATAGTCTGTGCTCATTTAGGTAGATCAGCTCTGGCAAGCTGTAGTCATTCAAGAAGTTGTGTCCACCATCGACTCGGTTCGAGCAGGGTAATCAGAGTCACTTTTGTATTGTTTGATAAAGCAAACTTCCTGAGTGTCGTTAATATCAGTGGAAACAAGACATGAATGTCACAGTCCCCGTCAATTAATTATAAAATACTCATGTTAAAATAATACATGGAGCATCTGCAAACAGTTGAATTAATATGTACTCCATGTGGGTACAACTCATCAAAGTGGTTTCCCTTAATCTAGTATACATGCTCAAGAAACTGCATTCACAAATCTGAGTAAACCTTGGTGTACCTTTGATAACAACTTGACTTCTTCGTTAATTCAGGTCTTTGTCCGGGCCTTTGTATATTTGCTTCAGTTTCACCACTATAATTCCCATCAAATAGTAGCCCTGACACCCCTCTGCAGTTTCCACTAAGATTTGTAATCGTATAACCCATTTATCCACCAGCCCTGACAACTGAAGGGCTTAGTCTTTTCCACGAAATGAAACCTTAACCCACATTTTTTCATTGGCCTAATAATATTTGAGAAAATTGCACACTGAAACACAAAATGAAAAGCGCCGTCAGTATTCACCAATACTAAAATGGCTGTCACGTCATGTCAGCACAAATGAATAGAGCTGCAAAAAGGTGGAAACTAAATATTCTCGATGAATTTATTTGTGACATGGTGATGTTTGAAGTCATTCACAATTTAAGGTTAGGGTCTAACCTAATTATTTATTCTGAGCATGCTCAGTTGTTCGCTCAGTGTTGGGAAGAGGTTATTTGTGGTGAAAATCAGGAAAAAGACTTGGGACTCAGATTTTGAAAAAAAATCAGTGCATATTCACCAGATTATTGTTCAACAACCTGCAAAGTTTCACTGATGTCATTGCAGAATTTCTGAGAAAAGATGCAAGAGAAACTAGACGGATGGAAAATACAAATAAGGAACTATTGTTTCAGAGACTAATAATCAGAGTATAAACAATGCCATTTCAATGGTGATGAAATAGGCAATGCATTTACTTTCCGACACCGAGTCACACAACCTTGGTGACGGGTGCACTCATCTTTCAGATTTCAGGAATTGGGATCCAAAATTATAAATGATTACACTCACAACAGCAGGAAAAATGCAGGATATCATTAGATATCATTGTCCGTTTGTACATAACAGGAATACGAACGCAATAAAGATATTAGATTACATTGACATGACCCCTTCGCTGGAACTTCCAAACTTTTGTTTTCTCCAGGCAAAACAGGTTTCAGCAAACATAAATAGGTAAGAAACCTCTTACAACCTCGTATGAATATAGATGGTGACATTTCCTCAGTAAACGTGGTGAGAAAACATTGAATGATATTCAATAACATGAAGCATTGTGTTGTTGAGGGGGCATTCTTAATCCGCACCATATATGGATGACCTGATGCACAAATTAATATCATTGATGAGATAATTGCTAGTTGTTGTATCATACATAATTTTTTGTGTGATACTTTGCTCGCCAGTGGAGTTCTCAGTGGAGTTTTGAGTTGCATGTATTCTTATATCAGTCTTGGATATCATGTCGGTATACTTGCATAGCATCAGCAAAGCTCCATCGTGTCACATGTAACAGTGCCATAAACTCCTTGCAAAATCATGGCAAATTTCAGATATCATCCGAAAGAGTTAATTACCATTTATTTATTTAATCGATCAAAATGCATCTTTTTATTCACACAACTAGTATTGAAAAAAAAGTGTTTACAGGGTACATCGGTAAATGGATTTAAATGCGTGGACAAACATTTGAAGGTCATCTTTTTGAGTTTTCTATGCACATTTTTCGAGTTTTCTTGGCAGTTTGTCAGTTTAATACGAACACCTGCATTTCAACTACGATTAGCATCATATCACTGCGAGTTGTATTAATTGTTTACTGTGCATTTCTCATCAAAGTATGTTTAAATGTTAAACATTAATTCTTTGGTTTGAGAGCATAAATAGAACATTAATTCACAGATTGGTTTACCACTTTTCACTATATTTTATGTACGCAGTTTCAGCGAACACATGGTGCACCACCAAGTGAAATGCATTATGGGTAATGGTGATTCCATTGGATGAGGACAAACATATTAAGGCATGTGCATTGACAAAGAAAGTAGTTATATACATGAGGGAGGTAATTTTGTAAAATCATAAGTTCCAAAGGCTCTCTTAGAGATCTCTTCAACTAAATAGACTAAAATAGTTCAAATTTGTTGGCAAATCAGTGCACACAAACAAAGTATGAACATGTGCAGAGTAGAGCTGAACACAATTCAGCTATGTGTATAATCCAATGTGCATATGACTGACAAAAGATGAATTTCACTGGAGGTACCCACAAACTCCATCCCTTGGTCCACAGAGGGCACTGTAGTGCGTCACATGATTCACTAAAAATTCATTAGCCCAAGGGTTTTGATATTGGCTTATTCAGCTCACTTTTGGAAGAAAAGTAGGGTAGTAGAAATCAAAAGAATGTCAACTAACATTCCTAAAAAAAAATATTAAACATGATGGACACAGATGAAAGTGCCACAAAAGAAAAAGGGCTAAAGAATGTATAATCAGTATTTTTATTTCTTTTTTTTATTTTAAAGACAAAAATAATAACAATAATAATGACTTTTAGGATTTACGATTTTTCATTACATTGAGATATAATACCTGTACTCTGTAACCATGGTGATATTATTGTAAACTATTTTTGATGCTAAAGTGAAATACAATTATTTGTTTGGTTACCAGTTTTTATTTAGTATTAAAAACAAAAATATATACTGAGTTGGATTAAGAGTCGCTTGACCAATGACATTTGTGAAGAGAGTGGCTGTAATTGTATTTCAGTGATTCGATAAGTTCAGGCAAGTTGTGTATACGAATCATCAGTCAAATGAGGTACGAGATAGAGTTAAAAAAAAATGCATTGCCTATATATTTCATTGCCAATACGAATTTGAAAAAATTATGGCCATATATGTTGGGGCAAACAATGACTGATGCATGGATTTAGTGGCAAACAATGACTGATGCATGGATTTAGTGGCAGTGGGCTATGGTATATCAAAAATAACTGCTGAAAAATTGAAATGAGTGGTAAGCGACTGCATAATTAAACAAACTCAATCAGAAACAGAATTAAACTTTTTTCCATACATAAGCTAAATACTGAATAGGTGTAAGAATTCTGATGTTTTATGTCACAAAACATCAGCTCGTTTGTTTTTTTCTCAAAAAAAGGCATATAAAAAGTGCTTCAATCTTAGTATTGGAGCAAGTCGCTACAATACAAGTCAGGTCCACCAAGTTAACTTTGGGTAATAAAAACAAAATGCATAATAAAAAGCCAATGGTGGGAATATTATTAAGAAATATTACATAATATGTTACAATAATTATAAAAACGTACAATTTCCCTTCTTTATTTTGTTTGTTTCACCCTCCCATTCCCACAGTATTAATTAAATAACAAATGCGTTACTTACTTACTTTATAAAAACAAACAAAAAAACTCGTCAATCACATTTGGATTAAGATACACTAAGAGCAAATGCAACAGAATTATCGTAGTATGAACAATACAAATCTAAGACAAAATAACAGACATCATGTATGGTATGATATGATATGGTTGACTCCTGTCTGTTATTACATGTATTAGGACATTACGTTTCAAGGCCACCTTGAGACAACAAGCTTTTTGTTTTTGTATGGGCAAAAATACAACATGAAATAAAATATTAGTGTCCATTCATTTTTAAACTAAATTTTCATGCCAAGAAAAAAAAGAGCAACAGATATCTTGGCACATAATTTTAAAATAAAAATACTGGAATCTTGGTCAACAACATTCTCTTTTTCACTGTCTTCCTTAAATGCATAAGAAAAAATAATTATATACAGTTATATGAGCAGTTTGTATGATAGTGAACATATCTGGTCTCTTCAGCCCGGTTGTTGTTACATGTAAATATACTGTTCTAAACTATTGTTGCATGGTGTAAAAATCTGAGATGCTCACACATACCACTCGCGGGAATCTTGTTTTTTCATCAGTGGTTTATTGATTCCATCTTTGCCATTATAAAGTGCACCATTAGCATTTGGCATCACAACTGTATTGTTGGGTGCACCATAGCTGTAGTTGCGGCTTTCATCAATCCGGTATGAACCTTCGTTTCGGTTACGATATTTGTAAATAGCATAGAGAAGAATGAGCACTGCTATGCAAACGGCAGCAACAATACCAATAACCATGGCAGTCTGCCCAGCGTTTTTACTGGACTCTGCTATAGGACCAGCAATTCCTTCTTCAGCAGCGGTAGTTTGTGTAGGTTTAGAACTTGGTGGTTTTTCAGTCTGTTTGTTGGTTTCAATTGGTTGCATTTTTTTAGTTACATTGGTCATTGGTTTTAATGTTGTTAATTCAATTTTTATGTCCGTCATCATCGCCGTAGTTGTAATGCCTTTTTCTGGAACCATTGTTGTAGAGCTAGGTGGCATCACTGCTTGTGTTGTCTTGCTTTTCATTGGCTGTGTGAGTGGTGATTCTGTCATTTTTGTGATTTCTACCATCATAGATTTGGTTGTTGGCTCCATGGGTATGGGTATCTCTCCTGATCCAGATTCATCTGTTTCACAATCTTCATCATCAGTTCCTTCACACTTCACACCGGATCCTTCCGGTATCATAGGTTCCAGTGTTGTTGCTTGATCTATAACCATTGGTGTTGTCATTTTCGGTGGAGCCCGTGTAGTTGGCTGAGCAGTGCTTTTCACTGTGGTCATCCTAGCTTTGGTAGTCATCATTGCTGGTACAGTGGTTTTTGGTTCAGTAACTCCTGCCATTGTAGTTGTTCTACCTACGCTGGGGCCAACAGGCTTAGGAATCTCACCTGGGGGAAATAAGAAAAATGTGTTTATGCCAAACCCAAAAAATTTTGATTTGGAAGATAATGATATGAAAATTGTGCTCAAATTGATTGAACTCGGGGTGTTACAGGAAATGAAAATACAAGATCTGTGTGATGTATATAGTACAGATAAAAAGGTATTTCCAAATTATGATTTTCACTCCTGGTTTAATTAATTTGCTTGCAAGTATTATTCTTTATCCAATTATTATTAAGCATTTTAGATGCAGAATAACTTTCAGTTGAAAAATCTACTGAGCAATTATTGGGGGCGTTGGAAATATATTCCGCTGTGTCAAAACCAGTGATTCACAAATATGATGTCATCATCAATACAATACATGTTTATTGTGTGCCATTTCTGCAAATCTTGGTTCTTACCTGACCCAGACATATCACAGTCATCTTCATCATCGCTATTACATCCTGAGCCAATTTCTATATAGATGTCATCTGTGGTGGTCTCAACACCAGGCTCCCCAGGACCAACAGGCTGTATGAAAAAGATATAATCATATTATGTCTATTTGATGCAAAGATTTAAGAGCAGATTTGACAAAATATTGTTTCACAGAAAAACATATAATGAAACTGATCTGGTGAATTGCTGATAAATACATAAATTATTATAAACAACAACTCTGTAATATTTTGTATGTTGAAAAAAAAAAGAAACAAGTCATGTTAATCATATCATGTTAAAGGGAATGATGTTGTTGGATAACTTTTATTGAACATGTTTAGATTACAAAACTAAGGTGATAAAACAGCACATTTCCCATAATATCCTTGTGATTTAAGGCCGGTTCAAATGCAATGCGAGTAATGATTTGTCAATTATTTTGTAGTTACTGTGATATTTTGTACTTTCAATTTGAAGGATTTATGAACAGTAATGTGAAAATTGTGTTCACACTTCATTGAATAACTCATGCCATTTATAATGCGATTGCAGTGTTTTTTAACTTTCCCCAAAATAAAATGCTGTTCTCAAATTACATAGTAGTTGAATTTATGTACATGCAGAATGGAATATCATAATTAGTCTAGATTTTAAGCAGCACTATTTGTTATTCTGGGTTCAGTCAAACAGGAAATCATGAACAGGAAATAGACCCATACTATAAATCTATTAATTACGCACTGGTTTTTAATTTCGCTATTTTTGTTTATAAGTAAAATATGCTGAATTAAAAAAAATGTGAACATGTAAAATGACAATAAAAATGCTCAAAAAATCAAAATAGTGAAATTAAACGCCAGTGAAATTAAATAGTGTTACAGTATTTTACACATGGAGATCAGAGACATCACAAACACTTGTCTTACAGCACAACACATTACTTTACTGACAATTGACAACTCTAAGGTTGATGCAAAACATATACAGACACTGACAAACAACAAGTTTACAACATTCAGGTTTTGACACATGACAACTACTTAACCAATATGTATTAAATTTTTTGTGACCACAGCTTACAAAATCAAATGTAATGTTTCAATCAAATCTCTCTTGCAGTTGAATAGATTTCACAATTTGTAGAAATTTCACAATTTGTAGACATAAATAAACAACTTTAGAAAGTTCCAAAGAAAGATTTGATTCAGCTATGATAATTTGAATTGAGTGAGATATTTTTATTAATTTGAGCATTAAAGATATAATTGATTAAATCTTGTAACCACTTCCAAGCATATGATGGAAATGAAAGTAAGGAGAGAGAAGGCACAGCAAGACAGTACAAAGAGTAGGAAGAGAAAACGAGATGTCCATATTCAGTATTTCGAGGGGCAAAAATCAAAGGCATTACCACAAATCGATAATTTTAATACAGCAAAATGAAAATGATTAATTGGTAGCTGTCAATTCTGAAAATTGCATCAAAGAAACACAGAACTTGTTGTTTACACTATAAATTATTTGTTTCTTGTAGTTTCAACCACTAAGATGAACACATGGCAATGAACTACAATAAGAGACAATTAAATTGGCTTCAGGGCTAATGATGCACATTGCAAAATGTGACCTCTCAACAACTTCAATATAACCCTTGTTCTGCAATGAAAATTAGCTTTGTTTGCTTTGCAGCATGAATTAGATTTTCAAAGCTTTTATTATTTTAATGCAAAACTTTACTCTGTTTTTTCCATGATATAAAAGAAAAAAATGTTCCAAATTTGTTATTTGATAAACTAAATTGAGTAATTTAAAAACAAATGGGCTCCTATTTATGTAATCAGTAAAGCTTGGAACATCATTAATTTGGAGATATTACCAACAAAAATTAGGTACCAACAAAAACTACATTTTTTTTTCAACTTTTACAGAAATTGGAATTGAACAACTGATGTGGAAAGGTGGTAGAAAACAGAAATTTACTGTAATTGCAGGGTCTCCTGAGTTACCACTAGCAAGAAGAGTGGTACAGTATTGGACTCTGAAAAAGGCTATGCACGTTAGAAATCAGCATGGTTTACGCTCACATAGCAATTTCTCACACAAAAAAACCCCACATACTATGGTTTTATCCAATATGGATGATAATGGTCACATCATGTTTATGTCAGGCCATTTGTATAATATTTGAAATTTTTAAGAGGGAAAGTAAGAGGAAGCAGCAGGGTGTGGGTGTATATAATCTAAAGCTGATACTTCTAGGCGATCTGAGCATACCCAGCTATAACACTACGTGAGATAACAGCTAACCTCAGATTCAAGAGTGGTCGTAGCTGACTGGGTGGTGGTGATAGTGAAGGTTGTTACGGCAATGGTAGAGTAAGTGGTATTTGTAAGGGTAACATCAGGCTGCATTCAGTGAAAAATATTTTGTGATTAGAACATGTTAAAAAGTAGGATGCAAGGAATATATCAAATAATGGAGAAGGGTATAAGCTTGCAAAAGTACTTTTTTCACTATACTTTTGGTTTCAAAGCTCATGCAGGCACAAAAATAAGCGTTTGCATACTATAATAATAGAAAACTAGCAATTCAAATATTAAAATTGAAAGAAGATGCATGTGGTGCATAAACAAAATTTTAGTATTTGAATGTTTGTCGACTCTAAAAACATTGCCCTCAGTACTAGACAACTCTTATTAATTGCCATTTCCCAACTGAAAACGATGAGCAGAACACAAACATGCAACATTAATATTAAAAAGGCAGAATAGAGAGATAAAAGCAAAACTGCATTTTCTGCATGCTGCGCTCATTACGATAGCTTTCTCTACATAGGCCATGCTATTGCTAATGCCAGATCTCTATATTCTGACTTCAAGCAGTATTTATTATACCGCAAACACAATTAATTAAATGATAATAATGGAGAGTAAGCCAGACCAAAGAATTTCACCCAATTCCAGAACAGCTAATAGTGATTCACATTATGTTGCTATTGTAAAATAATTCATTCATGGCAGAGAGTATGTGAAAGTACAGTACACATCTCAATATTTTTAATTTTTACATGTAGGTTTCAAATTTCATGGCTTGGCTCAACCATATTTATTAGTATGTTAGTAATGAAAGATGTTTTAATTAGCAGCAAGAGATTCTATAATTGGTATGGTATATGAATATGATTTGCTATCAAGCGTTTCCATTGAGATGTCATAATGACAGGTGCAAACAAAAAACTGACATGACTTGAGTCACTTCGAAACGCACTCTAGTAATATATTGCAAGATTTATAGATCTATCTGCAGATGAGTTAGTTCTAATGATGGATACTTTAGTTAGATGTAATTGTGTATTCTTCCAAAAATTATGTTCATGATGCCAGGCAATTTACAATTATTAAAATTCATACATAACAATAATAGTAAATAATTTTTGTAGAGTAATCAATGTTTGAACATTTGATATGATTTGTTTATTTTTTAAATTTCATTAAATACGTTCAATAAATTTTCGTTAGCAAGAATTTGCTTACGATAATTTGTTAATGTTTTGCAATTACGCATTCTAAATTTATAGAAATATGTTGATGATAAATTGAATTGTTCTGGTAGAACACACACTGTAGAGGATGAAATGAATTTACTTGGATGAATATTTGTCGAAATAATCACTACCTCAGTTGTCATAGGTTTATTTGCATATTTTGAAGTAGAGATGGGGGCAATTGTAGTACTCTGTTTAACAGTAGTTGTACTTGAAGCAGTGGTTGGCATAGACGTTGGTACTGTACTTGCAACTTTAGTAGGCTGTATTTATAAGCACAGAGGGAAAAAGAAGCAAAAAACAAAAAAAAAAGCATCAAGTTAAAGGCACATAGTATCAAGATCTTTTGAGAAAAAGTAGCACAGAGAGAATATTCACTAATATGAAGGTTTTTAAAGAAACAAAGTAGGTTTATATATATTCAAAACAAAATATGCATGTGATGTAATCAAACAGCACATAATTAAATATCACATAGATTGTGATGTCATCAATCAGCAGATATTGTGATGACATCAATAAGCACAGATTGTGATGACATCAATAAGCACAGATTGTGATGACATCAATCAACACAGATAGAGATGTGATTAGATTACAAACATTTATAACGCAATCAAAAATAGTAATTATTTAGAAACAATATAATTACATACAAATTACTTTAATTAGTATAATTATTCATATAAGCTTGACGGATAACATTTATTTATTTCTAACCTGCTGTGTTAGTAGATTAGGTGGTGTAGTTACATAAGGTGCAGAAGACGTAAAGACAGGCTGGAAGAGATGAGTCAAGGAGAGAAAAAGATTTTTGTGGAGAAGTTAAGGTATTATAATACAGCATAGAACATAAGGAGTTACATAAATCACACGTCATAACAATTTTTTTCATCCATGAATCTTAGCTCTATAAATCAATGATCAGCCATCCTGAATAAATATAGACTAACAGCTCAGCTGCTGATCATCCAGACCCTGCCTTTATGCAAACAAAAATTTGTTACCTATTACATTTCCCCTGTTAATCATTGCAGTAATAATACAAAATTAGCAGCTTTCTATTCATAGTAAACACGTTGCTACAGTCATTTGCATACATATAGATTCCTTTGCAACTGAACACACGTTTCGAATTGTCTCTCTCGCACACCCTCCCTCCCTCCAATACACAGATCTCTTATTATGTGGAACAGCCTTACCTTTGCTGGTGTCAGCGCTTTCATTTGAGTGGTCATGACTGGAGAGGAAGCTTTGGGGGAGCTAGGAGTGGTTTTAACACCTGGCTGGGAAGATTGCCTCAATGCGACATCTCCTTCCACTGTGACAGAAGAGTCTCTTGCGACACCCTTATCTAGCACTTTGATATCATTGTAGAATACTCCTTGCATCAATCCAACGTATTTGCGATCAAGATCACGTCTCTCTCTATTCTTTACTTGTCCTCTGGCACCAAGTTTTACAAAAGTTTGATCATTAAAAACCTTGCTTTGATCACCTGACAAAACAAATAATTAGCATTTTTAGATTAGTTATACAAATTTAGGGTTTTCAGAGATTAAGAGTTCAATGATACCAGGCAGTAGATTATTCATTACTGGTACATAGCCACACACTGACAGTGATAAAGGTGTTTTACCCAACACCAAGAAGTTCCATTAGATATGCATCTCAGTTGAGAACATTGAATGTAGCATTTTAAGTGCATCAATATTGTGATTTGTAATTGGTGAATTTATACGAGTAAATACAATAATTTTAAATTAATTTTGTCTGTAACTTGACTGCTATTTTTGTTATGATTATTAAACTTTGCTATAATTTTCCTGTAATGCCACTGTTGAATCTTGAAATTCAAAGCTTTCAATCTTTGCAATTGCATCTTGTGATCCTTTAATTGAAAAAACCTTATTCAATTTGGCAGTTTTTTGGCAGGCCAAATATCATCATGAACAAATCATAATTTCACACACAAAAACTACTTTGACTAAATATCAACTAACCTGCGGGAAACATTTCTCGAACTGGTTCATCATCCAATTGGAGGGTGGCATTCTGTCCTATGCGATGGAATCTCATTACGTGATATTTACCATCGTTGACTTTCTTAAGCACCCTTCCTATTGGATGATCGTCTGTTCCTACATTGTAAACCACGAATAAGTTTCCCTCCTCCTGCAGCAAACAAATTTTGACATTAAATCAAAACTCCATGTAGAAAACATTTATTTCAATAAAGCGGGATGAAACATGAATGCAGATATATGCAATTACTGAAAGTCAGCAGAAAGGGAAACTAACTTCACAACAGCCTTCTTTTTTTCTGAGTTGGAAGCGACCTTGCTTAGTTCACAAAAAGAAATGAAGTCGCGCACGATACTTACAATTTCTACTTCAATATAATCATCAGATGATGAGCTGTCAATTCTAGCTAGAACGGCGTCTGATGATTTGGTACGGAAACCGATTGCCAATCTATCAGAGTATGTCGTTGGTCGACTACGTTCTGGATAAGTAAAAGTGATAAGTCCACCATTGTTGCTAAAATCAGCTTTAGTCCCTCCTACAGGTAAAACATGACATGTAGCAGATTTATAACAAGCCAATATACAATATACCAATTGTATTACTGATTGCGTAAGTAGGGTAAGCAACAGGATATTTCAACAGCTGTACATTACAACGAACTGAAAAATAACAAAAGACATTTGAAGAGGTTGGCTATTCAAATTCAGGGTGTTAACTGTCTGTTTGCTAAAGTGATAAGACATATACAGAACTATGTTTTTAAGAAAATGTTGATGCATGCACATGCATCCATTATAAATTTGGCATACAGTTAGGGCTAAATTGCAAAAAAAGGCTGCGTTTTTGATCTTGTAACTGTGAAATATGCAGGTTATCTGGATCTCTTAACAGAAGTGTGTTGACTTTATGCTCATTAGAAACATTATGATGGCCTTTGTTCTAGCTCCATTATATATAGTACCGGTAGTAAAATTTTATTTTAAAATTTATTCTAGCTCGAATTAATTTTTGGGCGTTTTGTATCTAATTTATTTTCACTGACTTTTGACGAGTTGAATGTAAAATATAGGGAAAAAGGTATATTCACAGGATTTTATTTTCACTGAATCATTTCTTCACCGAAATGAGCAAAATTTAATTCCAAGCAAAAATTTTGTATTTTACAGTAGTCAGAATGGCTGTTTAAAAACAAGTTCATAACCATGAGCCAGTGCTGTTGTACAGAGATTGCCTAGTACTGAGTAATACAGTAATATCTGAAAACAAGCTCATATTCATAAACCAAAGCATGCAGAGATTTCGACAAATTGACATTCACTAGACTTACTAATTTCACACATGGATCCGGTGAAGGTTGTCATGTCACAGTCACATGTGTAGGAGTCCCACAGCTGATTACAGATACCTTGGTTCAGACAGGAATCAGCACTGCAGGTCTGACTTGGTCCTACAGAGATCAGAAAAAATATATCAATGACTGGAAGTAGGTTATGCACATGAGAGTTTATGCCAACTATTGCAACACATGAGAGTTTATGCCAACTATTACAACACATGAGAGTTTATGCCAACTATTACAACACATGAGCGTTTATGCCAACTATTGCAACACATTAGAGTTTATGCCAACTATTACAACACATGAGAGTTTATG